TTTCTGAAATAATAATTTTTACTAAAAAATAAATTAAGAGTTTACGCTATAATGCTGCATGCGTTTACTGTATAAAAATTATGATATTCAAAGGTAAGTAAAAGAAATTAACAAAAGGAAAAAACTGTGCAAACTATAATGTCATAGATTTTACTGAACAACGCGTTCCTAATTATATATTAACACGGTATTCTTTTCATAGAATATGATTATGCAACTCAAGATTATGGTTATTTAAACTAATTGAACACATCCTGTCAAATAAATATTGTTGCATATTGATGTTTAAATAAGTATTGTATAAAATAAATACTGAATACATTAATAAATGAACATGATTAAGCAGACAAGTACAAGTACTGTATTAAGTACTGTATTTTATTTTCTGTTTGCAGTTATATGTATGCGAAAATACATGTTATACTAAAAAATAGTCTTTTTAAACATTATGTTATTCATTTTCAGTATAAATAAAAGTTAATAAATTTTTAATTTTTTTAGTATTGACTTTTTGAGAATTTTAAGTCAAATTTTAATTATCTTCGTATTTTCCCGCAATTTGTTTGTTTACGTTATTTATCGAAAATAAGCTGCTTGCATTTAAATTTCTTTGCTAAAGAATATCGACTTGTTTTAACCATCAAATTAAGCATCAACTAATTTTGCTAGGATATTTTCAGATAGCTATGTTAATTACTTTAACGATAATTTTTTGAAAATTTATATATTCTTCGAAAACAAAATACTTAACATAAGTCAAACTTTCTCTTCTAGTCAACTATTATTGGACAGTCCCATTAAAAATACGCGCCAGAATGGTTTTATTAACCAGGACTGTTCGATTAAAATCTAAAGTATTGATTGTATGGTCAAAGAAGTGAAACATCACATAAGCTGCTATGGAACCTATATTTGAACAAAAACATTAATAAATAAATAAAATATTTAACCGAAATCTCTATGTTCATCATCATACAGCATTGACTTGTCTCCTTCCTTGTATACATTGTATATGCTTCAATATTATTTTTTCCAACTTTTTTGAGTGAACAGTATCCTTAATATTCTTCATAAATTGGATTACCANGTAATCATCGACTTCAATGTATATTTTTTAGAATATTTCTCTTACACGGCGACAAAAAAAGCCTCATTACAACTCCCCGAACGGCAACGCTAGAAAATCGACCAGTGATTGCAGCTGAAAATGTCACATGCCAAATCTAGCTGAGGTGGCTCATTATATGCGCTTTTAAAAACGGAAACTGAAATAACCTTAAGCTAGGCAGAAGTGAGTAGTCTTTGTCAATAGATCTTTATTTTAATATTTTGTCTAAAGCGCTTTTTTATTCACGAATTTATATATTACGAATTTATTTGACGATTTTTGATTTATATCACGAATTTATTTGTTATATTATTGTAATAGGTTTAACGAATTACATGTCATTTATTTGAATTCAAATTAATTTTAATGGTTTAGTATTTACTAAAAAGTTGTAATTCTTTTTAAAAAAAAGTTGTTATATGGATTTGAATGATTGTTTTGAATTCCTAAAATTTTGTGAATTTGCAATGTACCTAAGTTAGTAGCGAGTGAAGTTAGCTTGGTTTGCGAAGCAAACCATATAAGAATGCGTAGCAATTTTCGGGGGTTGGCGAGCGTTAGCGAGCCGTGGGCGCAGCCAACTAGTTCTTTTTTACTCGGTGTGTATTTTTTGTATTATTTAATTTATAATAAAAAAAACTAATATGAGCTTCGTAACTTTAATTTCGTCAACTAACCACAATTAAATTTAAAAAATGAATAAAAATGCTTGCCATCTAAGAAATTTTGAAAGAAATTTTTTCTTTAAGCGACCAAATTGTTCCTTTGGAGAAATTATTTCTTAGGTGTCAGACTTTTGCTCATACTTCTTCATTCCTATTTTTTACGACATGATCGCAATTAAATAGCATAGAAAATACTTCTATAAACTTTAAAAAAAAAAGCTCTTTCAGTGCAAAAAACAGATTGCAGCAAAGTATCCAGAATCCGGCTTGTTAAAATACCCCAGAAAGTTCTTTTTCATTATCAAAAAAATAATAATAAATAAGTAAATAAAAATAAACGAAATCGGTTTTATTTAAATCAAAATTTATTATTTAAATTACGAATTTTAGATTTTTAATTTCTCTGTTTAAAATAAATATATAACATATAATAAATATATTAAATAAATATATCAATATTGTGAAAAATAAATATAATATAAAATTAAGTCTATCCATTACTGATTAATTATTTATCTCTAGTTTTCAACCTTTCCTTTTCTGAAACACTAATTTACTGATGAGTTTTTTCACCCCTTAGAGAAAAACACTGTATAATTTTTAAAAATTGTATAAACATACGAAAAACAAACTCTAAAAGGAAAATATCGAGCACTTGGCATAACACTTTTCTAATATTGCAGCTTGAATAATAAAATTATTTACAAAACTTATTTTGCAAAACGTACAAAACTTATTTACTTATTTTGGATTGAAAAGGTACTATTCTGTTTTGGAGAGCCGTGAAAAGTTCCCCAAACTATTATTAACACCAATGATGTTTAAGTAGTTTTCTTTATGGATGCTACTTATATTGTGGTAATAATTACTTAAAATAAAAAAGTAGGTACTTCAGTAAAACAATTTTCATAGACCACGAAATGGAATAGTACGAATGAAAATTTACATCCAAGGAAAAAAATTACTTGTGTACAAAATAACGTGAGTTTAAAAAATATATAATAACTTTTTCATTTAATTTTATTTGACAAAATTAATAATGATAAGAAATCCTATTTCGAATTTCTTTCTAATTGAATTTGTCTTATAAATTTTAGCATTATATAAAGTCATTTCACATTTGCCTTCTGAATCCTGTAAAAAAATTATGCTGGAGGGATATCATACATTTAAATATAAAACTAAAAATAAAGTAATAACTGCACTTTTCATTTCATTAATAATTAGTATGACGTAATATAAAATAGAAATGATTACACTGTGACTGGTTTCTTTATTTTTTTACTTAGATGTAGATCTTTAAGCCTTCGTATTATGATTGAAATGTATATTTCAATTAATTGAAAAAGCACCATTTTGAGCGATTGTAAGAATAATTGCAAACCGGCTAAATGATAAATTCTAAATTCCTATGCTATTTTTTTAAAAAATGTGTTACTTTTAATGCGGAAACATTACAGCTTTGATTAAAATTTTGTTATTAGATTAATTTAAGAATAAATATGTGGGGCCACTAACGATGACAAAAGAAATTTCATTTTTCTAAACATCTTTTGAGATTTCATCACATCGTCAGTCCATATCTCGATTTTTTTATTGTTAGAAGAATCTCACTTTTAAGTCATTTTTCCTATTTTCTGAAAAAACTTAAAATGTCGTCAATCGGGCATCCAATTATAAATTTTTAAAGGCAAAGATTATAATGAAAATAAGTTGAGATTCAAAACTAAGAAGCGTTAAGATTAACATTTATAATGAGTTAAAATTTTTAATGAGTTAAGATTCTAATCAAATTTTAAACGTGCAAGTTTGGAAAAAAAAGGAAAATGCAAATAAAACTAAGTTTTTGACATTAGTTTTGCACGTCAATGTATACAGTGTCATGCAAACTTTACTTTAAATTGATTTTTGTATGCGTATTGGTATGCATATACCGATAGTATTATACTTGTTTAATATAAGTACGTTTTACTAAGACCTTTTGGTATCATTACTCTTCCTTTGCCTGTTTTTCTCTTTATATTAAAAAATCATGAGGCCTGCAGACGCAGCTATTTCGGATGTTTAACTTAACGTTATATTTTGTTTTGGTTCTCAAAATCTCCAAAAGTTAGAAACTTGAAATTATAAAGGTGAGAGGGAATATAATTGAATAAAGAAAATTGACGTTAGATAAATAGTTCGAGAATTGTTAACTGTTAAACTTGTTGGGAACAGAAAACATTATACGGGCCGCTCTGCAGGTCGCAGAAACACAGTTAGAGTTGAAATTAGGTATGCTAAAATGGCCATATTTGTTTATACACTTTACTCACAGAGTGCTTTTCATTTCATCAAGCGTTCATTTTTCCCTAATAAAATGTTCTTACATAAAGCTACAACAATTGTATATTTTGAATATAAAATGATCAGTGATTTTGAGGAAAATATTGACGTTAAAGGAAAAATAAAATAAGGATGAGTTAAGTAGTTATTATGGGTGTGAGTGAATGGAACGAGCAGGGGGTGAAGTTTCCCAGCATTTTAAAAATCTATTTTTTATTAATGTTTTATCAATACCTTCTTACTCATCAACTATTTGTACATTTAGAAAAAAGAAAAAAAATATATAACTCCAAATTACTTTTGTTCTAAGGATCGAGTTTTCACAAATAAAATGTCAATCTTAATTAATATTATTAAGAGGTGATATTAAATGTATTAATCAGTTAGTGCTAACTATTAAGTCACAAAATAAAATGCCAATCTTAACGTTATAAAAAGGTGACCTTAAATATATTAATCAGTTTGTTGTTAAGTCACAAAATAAAATACCTTTTTTAATATTATAAAAAGGTGATCTTAAATATATTAATTATTTAGAGCTAACTATTAAGTCAGAAAATAGAATGCCAATCTTAATGTTATGAAAAGGTGACTTTGTAAATATATTAATTAGTTAGTGCTAACTAATCAGTTACAAAATAAAAGTTCAGAAAAATCTTCTTTTCTGAAACTTTATTTCTCAGGAACTATTCAACTGATTTCATTTAAGTTTTTCTTTTTTCTTTTGAAGGATAATTTTTCTTTCATTACTTTATATTTATTTATTTATAATTTATTTATTTATTTATAATTTATTTATTTATTTATAATTTATTTATTTATTTATAAGATTTATAATTTAATTTTATAATATTTATAATTTATTATTGTACATCATTATTTCCTACACAATTCTATCCCACAATTATTTCAGAAGGTAAGCAAACATGATAGACCCAGCTGCTGCTGCTTCAGTTACACCTACTGCTAACAGAGTGGAGAAGAAATTAGGAGAAAGAGAGGGCTACTCATTTTGGATCGGAACATTCTTTATTGTGAGCAATATGGCGGGCAGTGGAGTACTTGTTTTGCCTAGGGCTTTAGCAGATACCGGTAACGCTTTTATTTCGCTTTTCTTCCATCATCTCAAATCCTATTTTAAAATTCTGGCACTTTAAAGTGTTACAATGAACAATATACAGGAACAGTATACAAAATAACAATGAACAATATACAGTATAACAGTTATAAACTTAGAGGAGAGGTAGAATATAAAATAAAATAAAAATATGAATACATCATAAAAACAAAAATCGCTCAGCAACCTATAACCGGAAATGTCAACGTGCATCAGTAGAGGCGCTTCCTCATTATGCAGTATAACAGTTATAATCGAAACTTAGAAAGGAGGTAGGGCACATAAAAAAGACCAAAAGTTGAACAGCAACCTATGACAGGAAATGTCATCACGCATTGCTAGGGGTTCTTCCTTATAATATATAGGCAGTTCCTGCTCATTTTTACCCGCATTCGTCTAAATTGTTTAAATTTTTTGAAAAATTCTATTGATAAATGATAAATGTTAAATATTGTGTTCAAGAGTATCTCTAAAAATTGCCGTTTTTACGTATTACTCAATTTTGTGAACTAATTGGCGAACTTAGCACTTTAGTTGCCAAGTCAATAAATTCGAAATATCTTGTAAATAAAAAAACAAAATCTGGACCTTATAAAGAACGTTTTATGAAAGTAATTAATTAAAAAAAATTAAATTAAAATAATTTAGAATAAGAAAAAGTTCTCGCTTCAAATGTGATTGAATAGTCTGTTCATAATAGGGCAGCAAATCCAGCGGTGCACTATGACATTTTTGGTCTGGGGTGGCTATATGATTTTTAATCCTTATGATGTACCATACCTTCTTTCCGTTTTCAACCTCTGAATTGATAACCTTATTGTATAAGATGTTTATTAATTACCAGCAATTTTTAGAATGTCAAAAATGAAGTAAAAAAAACATATGCACATAAGGAATCACAAACTATTATTCCAGCAATGGAAGAATAAAAATAATATCGTAATATGTTAATTAATAGAGGCACAGGCAGGAGTAGAGAAAACTAGTTTGTTTGCCTGATGAAACTTCAAGGTATCTAAACTTAGAAGTAATAATCAACTATTAATTATTCCAGGTTTTCTCCTGTAAATAAACACATCTTGTCGCTTAAATATTAATTTGAGACCCCCAATGTATATACACACTTTTTTGACTTAAATTTTAACAAGGGTGCTAAAAAAAATTAGATTTAAAGTAGTTATTAATGATCATCCTGTAGATAATTTTTTTTTCTATTTCTTTTATTAAAAAAATCACATCACTTTACATTGTTCTATTTACATATATTCGCCTACATATAAGATAGATAATGTATATGTTTAACAATCATTTTATAGGTTGGGGTGGAATAGTGTTTATAATATTGTGTTGCTCAGCTTCATTATATGCTGGATTATGTATAGCTCGTTGCTGGAACATTCTTGAAGAAAGATATGTAGAATTCAGAAATGTTAGACACAGGAAGCCATATCCAGCCATTGCTGAAAAAGCATATGGAGTACACATGAGGTAAATATACTCATAAGAAAAATAATAAAACTGTTTTCCTATAAATGTCTTAACTGTTATAATTATGGTATAAGAAATGTTTTACTAATTCCCGAATCGCGGCTTCAAAACCCTTAATAAATGTATATTATTTTACTTCCTAATTCATTTGCAACTGATTTTAAACTGTCTAATTTCAGAATATTTTAATAAAATTATGAAGCATGAAATAATTATAAGCTTTGTTTTTTATGTTTTGCTTGAAATAATATTATGAATAAGTAAATTTCATTCTTTCATATTTCTGTAGGTATTAAGTGATTTATGTAAAAAAGCGAGTTCGAATTCCAAAGTAACCTTAGATGTACAGCATGTATTGGGAGTACAAATTAGTTTGGTTCGTTTTCAAAAGATGACTCTGGCCGTTATGAATGTTTCATAGTGACAGCTGGTTTCGGTGGATTTAGAGAGATTAGACATCTGTCAATAATATTCAGTTTATATCGCCGTGAGTTTCATACAAATATCCTGTTTTTTACTTTGTTGAATATGACATATTTTGAGGTAACTGAGCAGCATTTGCGGGAGGTTTTATGTTTTTGCTTTAATTGCCAGAAAAGTGCAGCTGTAGCACACCGAATGCTTGTAGAAGGTTATGGTGACACTGCTCCAACTGATAAATCATGTAGGCAATGGTTTTGACGTTTCAAGAATGGTGAATAGTGTTGTATACTATGAGCTGCTACAACCTGGCGATTCCATTACGAGTGATCGGTATAGGCTACATTTGATTCGTTTGAGCCGTTCATTACGAGAAAAATGGCAGGAATTCGAGCAAAGACATGACAAAGTTATTCTTCTGCATGATAACGGTCGGCTCATGTCACTAAAATTTTAAAAAATTATTTCGAAACGCTCAAGTGGGCTATTTTACCGTACCAGCCATTTACACCCGACATTGCTCCTTCTGATTACTGCATTTTTGACCATATAAAACGGAACGAGCTAATTTGTGCTTCCAATAAAATAAAAAAGTCAACACCTTGAGTTACTTTTTATCTGATGATCCGAGTTTCGTTAAAAGCTTACTTTCTCTGAATAAAAAAAGATTTTTCTTGTCGGGCGCGGATTCTTGATCGTCATTACATGGTTGTCAATAGTAATCTGGAAGATATGGTCTCACTAGTTTAAACAGAAGAGCAGTCAAATGCTTGGATCCCTTAATTTTAATATAACGTTTTGCGTATTTCGTTGTAACCCGAGTAAACTTGAAGCGAATCGAAGATTTTTTGCACTTAATGACGAAACTCGTTCATCAAAAGTTAATTTCATGTAAATATCAATTTTTAATAATTATTTATTATTTTTCATTAAATTATTTAATAATAGTAAAATTTTTTTTGAATTGTTAGGGAAACGAGGAGGCTCCCCTCATGAACCACCAAGCTGCTTCTCATTCATTTACATTTTTTTGTTCCTAAAAATCGGTAGGAGAAAGATCATTTTGTTTATAAAATATCTAATTATTATATTTTTTACATAAGCACATTTTGTTAATATGTTAATCATAACGAAATAAAGGATACATTATTTTGTTATGATTAACGTATTAACATTATGATTATGAATTATTTATGGACAAATGAATTTTATAATTGTGTACAAAAATCTTTCGATTCGCTTAAAAAATCATCAAGGTATACCAAAATACACAAGACTTAAAATAAACGTTAAACATTCGACATTCAACATTCCAAAAATTTGACCGCTCTTCCAGCGACACAATTGGGACTAATTTCCTTGAATTGCGGTTAATCCGCTTATTTTGAGTTCAAGAATCCAAATCGGTCGACAAAAATTTTTTTTTGTTTATTCTGAGAAAAAATGTTTTTGACTCAAATTTTCGTCAAACTAATGTACTAATGCACACACTAACTAATTCAGGTGGTGCCTTCTAAAGACCTGGTTTCTTAGACAGGTCGGTGTTACAAAACGTCAGCCTGAAGCTTGCTCTAAACCCTGATTGGTCAATTTGTGAGTTAGACAGCATATGCCATCGAACTCTCAGATTGAACAACGACTGACGCCCGAATCAACTGCAGTTGGATTACAACGTAGCGTTAAGGCCAGAAGCAATGGCGGACAACAGCCAACAGAACATTGAAATCTGTCAAGTTTTTGACTTTAATATTTAACATAGCTTCTTCTTCCTCTTCAATTAGCTCAGCTATAATGTGTTTTTTCATGGACAAAATCATTATTTGTTCTCTGAAGCAGTGGTCGACAATAATAAAATCAATATAAATCCAAAATAAATATTAATATTAATTAATAAATGATTTGTTTACATTATTAGCGCATGCGCAATGCGACATAATGTCTGCGTTGGACCGACTGCTCACGCTGAGCTAACAAAACAGTATTTGTTTGGCATCGGCGGTACGTCAACTTCCCGCTGACGCCCAGATAAGGCGCTTGTCCTAAGAAATCAGGCCTTGAGCTAAAAATCCAGTATTTTGTTCGCGTCAGGGTAACGTCAACTTAACGCTGACGCCCAGATAAGGCGCTCGTCCTGAGAAACCAGGCCTTAAGTCGTAGAGTTTGGAGTCTTAGTACAAGAAAATCCGATCCTCAAGGTGTTGGCGCACTGTACCTTTATGCTCTTTTTATTTATTGAGTGCTATCTGCTTTTCTATTTATTTTATAAAATGGATTTATGACCCGTTCTTTGTAATAAACACGCAAGTCCGTAAACTTCTTTAAATAAATGTAATGCGAATGTAAGAATGTAAGCAAAATTTTTCTCTCAATTTCTCTTAGATGGAAATTCAGTTCGATTGAAAAATTAATTCGTTACATTCCAGAAGCTTACAATGTAGCTTTGTATTTTAAACCCAAGTAACTTTACGCAAACCGAACTTAAATAGAAATTTGAAAAAAATCTATTCAGTTTATTAATAGTGAAACTCCTAGGAAAAATTGAAGTTATTATGTATTTTTTTAGTATCTCATTGCCATAGCTGGAAAATATTAAGAGTCTTTTTATTTAATTTTAAAAAACACATGTAACCCTTTAATAAAATAATATTTAGTTTAAGAAATAATTTAAAAAAACACGATGTTCATTTTTAAACATCTTTTCGAAACTGAACGAATGAGGTTTGATTCGCTGAATTTTACTGGTTGATGAAGTCTAAATCTTACTTTTTCCTTAAATGCATAGTTTTTATTCAACAAAATAAATGTTTTCTCTTCCAGGAACATCTTGTCTGTTGTCTTGCAGATCAACTTTTTAGGTATTTCAATAGTGTACCTGTTACTTCCAGCAGAAATGATAGCCAAATTGATTCCATCATCATGGGGAATACCTTTCTGTTATTGGATTCTTATTTTAGCAGCCGTAATATGTCCCATGATGTGGTTTGGGACACCAAAAGATTTCTGGTATAATAATATAGTATAAGCCTTCTCATACTTGTTTTCAACGTTAAATATTACTAAGTGTTATTACCATTAATAAAGTTATAACCTATGTAATGCTTCGAATAATCGGTCCTTGAAACTTCATACTTCATGAAAAAGTTGAAATTCCACTCCTTCTTCGATATTAATAAAATAACGTATAAAATGTTTTCGATCTACAGAGTAAATCAAAAAATATTTAAAGTTATGATGTTCTTTAAACACCTCAGCAATTCTGCATTTTTTTAAATTCGAAATGAGTAAATTTATCTATGTTGCTATGCTCATATATTTAATGGTAATCAATAAATCGCCAAACTTTTATTGAATGAGGTTAAAATAATTGTAATAATTGGTATTTATGGTACTCTGGTAATAGGTACCTTATATAATAATGGTAGCTAAAATAGGTGATGAAATAATATTTAATTTTATATACTAATATTGGGAGCTAATAAAAGTAATAGGTTCTTTACGACAGCTTGAAATTAGTAAATACCGAAAAATATTAATTCTGTAGTTCTAGCTTATTTTATATTTAAATTTATAAACGGTATTAAACAGCCTATCCAATTCTGAGTTTATAGCTATCAATATTCAACTCCTTAGCTTTGTAATTTTTAAACCCAGCACTGGAGACAAGGGTATTCATGAACCAAGTATTAGGGCATACTGGATTTCGCGCAGAACATTTTGCTGGAACTTCCCCCTCATTTTCGTGACATGGAAATAAATAATTCACGGTTTTCCTGATGGCAAGGAGATTCAAACCCAAGATCCGTCAAAGACTGAGGATATTTTGCATCAGCACTGTGTACCTGTGCGAGTCGGGAGAAGAATTCATGTCAACCAAATCTGGTTCGAATCTGGATCACCTGGAATCACCGAATCTGGATCATTGGAAGACGAACGCTTTTTCCGATGAATCACCACCAATTCATATACGTCAAAACTGCGAATAAGCAGGTTCAAGCTTTGGCTTATATGAATGGTACCTCATGATGATCACATCGAGTCAAGTATTGGGAAAAACTAGCCTTCGTGAAGAACTTTTTGATGGAAGTAGCCCGCGATAGCGCTGCATAGAGAGAGAAACCATGGAAATCTTCCATAGTTAGCCCGACGGCAATGGGATTCTAACTATTGATCCGTTTATCACTAAGGAAATTTTACATGAGTACTGTGATCAGTGCGAGTCCGGAGCAAAATTCGTATCACTCTATCCTCTGAACCGGGTGCAGCTCAAGTTCTAGCTTATTCACATTTTTGACGCATATGAATGATACTTCATCAGGACATGGCGTAAATTTGCAGTTGGATGATGGGAGTGAGATACTAGTTATGAGTTAAATGAAATTGTCGATTGCCTCCTAAAAGTCACAACTCCTTAAAAAATATAAGAAAGGTAATGGCAGGAATAAAATATAATTTTGATATAAATCAGCAAGTGAAAAATGTAATTAACACAACAAAAAGCAGGAAAAAAATGTAATTTTTCAAATGCAAATCTTAACAGCTACCAATGACATTCGTAAATCATAGTACTTTACCGTATCGTATAATATCAGATTAGACTTTATGTATTATTTTTATTTTCATTTTTTATTACAAATTAACTTTAGTTCCTTATAATATGTTTGGGAAAAAAACTTTCCTTCTTTAGGATAGCTGCTGTTTTGGCCCTTGTCACTATCATCGGATCTATCATTATGCTGCTTGTAGCTATTGCAAAACATGCCTCATCGATTAGTTTGAAAGTAACCCACAAAAATCCTACTTTTCTATCTTTTTTCTTGTCTATGGGATCAATATTCTTCTCATTTGGTGGGGCATCTAGTTTTCCGACTTTTCAAAATGATATGAAGAACAAAGATGCATTTCCGAGGGCTGTCATAACAGGCTTTGCTAGTACGTATATACCATATTTTCATACTTACGCATATTCTTTCTTATTACGAAATAGGACACGTAAGTAGAATTTTAAATTACAGGATTCTACAAAATTATTAAACTTCACAGATCTTAGTGGGTAAAGATGGTAAGTGACAGGCTTTAAGTGCTTTTGAAATGGGAGAGGCTTCTAAGTCTTGTCGGCAACAACATAAGAAAGCATATCCTTTCCAGCATTTAAAAAGGCCCAGAGTCCAAACAATAAGATGTGGACTGTTTGATTGGTTACGTTTTGCCAATGCGAAACTTTTGAACCAAAAAGAAAAGTTAGGCATAATCTCTATTTCTCAAGTATTTTTAAATATATAAAATAAATATTCGCATTTTCTAGTTAATTTGCATTATTCCCTAAAATATCTCTTAGGACTCCACACAATGCTTTAAATGTGATGGGGCATTATAAAACAGCATTCTTGATATATACGTTGAAATTTACGAATTTCTTATTCTCAATTGGTAATGCTATTGTCACGTAGAAAGAATGGAATTTATGCTAGCATGTAAAACATAATTATTAACAAACATCTAAAATTCAAAGAACATGGTAACTGCCATTTCCAATTGAAATGCATGAATTTATATGCAGTGTAAGGAAACGGAAATGACGTAAGGGAATATTCCACAGACTTCTAGAACATTCCATGAATAATAACTAAAATCAAAAAGTTTTAATATGCACATTTAAATACTAACGCTGTCCTGAAAATTTGAGAGAACTTGGAGAATCGAACTCAAGATTTCCGATTTGCCAAGTGCTTGTCTTCAGCCGCTAAGCCAAGACGACACGCTTTTTGTGGCTTTTATGAGAGAAGTGGAAATATATTAGTTTATCAGTATATCAGTTTTATATCAGTATATCAGTTTTATTGAAATACAAATTTCAAATTTTTATTTCAATAAGAAGAATTAAGAACAAAAAACAAGTGGATATATATTTGTAAAAATAATGACATTAAACGTCAGTCCGAACCTAAATATGTTTTTTAATTGGTTGTGCAGAATTTTTAGCTTCCTTAATAAACTATTATTGGAAAATACCCGTATTAGATTTTATTTATTAATTTGTGATCTATATTCCAGTAATTATAGCAAAAATAAGGGTGTTTCTTAGGAAAAATGAATACAATAAATGCTTTTTGACAAAAGCTTTGTTATGTTTATGTAAATAATTGCAGAAAACAAGTGCAGGCTTCCCTCTTTGTTTAGGGAAATTGAAGCAATATGAAGGAGGGAATTAAACTTATTCGAAACAGGCACGTGAAAAATTGTTTCCGATTCATATTTTTACACGAGACTATCAGATTGATAGTTTAAAAGTTACAAGGGTGTTACGTAGAAAAAGTACAAATTTGAACTGGTATCTCTTTATGAATCTAAATTTTTATCTAAGCAAGTGAGACATTGTTTCCAATGCATTTTATACGCTAAATTTAATGAGCTTAAACATGAGTTAATCAAACGAATAGTTCAAAAGTTGTGAGCACTTTTACGCACAAAAAGTACTAATTTTTTACACAGCTTATGTACAATTTTTGCGAGTTGTACGAGTTGACTGGACTAATAGTTTTGAAATAAGGGTTTTCTTAAAAAGAACTTCATTAAAAAATAGTATTTTTATACTAAAATCCTTTTTTACTCCTAAAATATTAGTCCGTTTCATGTTTGGTCTCGCACGATTGAGCGACAGAAATACAGATGAAATAATATCTCTATTTCCTGTATAGCAATGTTAGATGCGTAAATAAACACAAGTACAAAATTGTTCTTTTTGTAAACGAAACTATTATAACTTCTGAACTAATTATCTTACTAATTATCTAATCAATTTCTGTTTTTTACCATTCAACGCAGCATAAAAAACTTTATCGGAGAATAGAATTTACATGCTCAGAGAGTCCGAAGACAGCAATGCAAAGTTTGTACTTATAGACATGCCAAAAGAAATACTTTTTATGCATATAAATGTTTGTAACTTTTGAACTATTTGTTCCATTATCTTGTGCATTGTCTTATGCAATTCTGCTTACCAAAATACTTAGGAAAAATTCTTCATTCACTTAGATAGTAAATTCAGATGAGTAAACAGGTATACGTACAAAAGTTAAGCGCGTAAAACGTTAATTAGTCCGATCATCCGGAATCGGTTTCATTCAATTCAAAGGGGGGTGGGACATTGGAAAAAATCCTTCTCTTGCTCGTCAAGAACAATTTCAATTCTTATCCATAAACCACCCTTATTTCCCTTAAAAGAGGCGAAAGCGTACAAAAGAGAAAAGGGGAGTTTTCCCATATCATTAATAATAAAGTAACAATTCTTTTTAGAAAAAATAAAAAATCTTTTGTACTAGTTCTCCCGATGAAGAAGTCTAATTTTAGAGTAATCTTTTCTGTAAAATGTCTGGGAAACTAGCGGGCTGGTTCTTAAACTAAATATCATATATAAACTAAGCAAAGACAAAACAGAAGTATTGCCAATGCATGTGAAGACAGAAGTCCAACTTATGAGGGTGGACTAGATACTTACGTTTCAGCATTCCATCAAATCATCAGCAATCTAAAATATAAACAATCAACGTCCACCACCTCCAGTGGGCGGCGGCGAAATTATAAGACGTTGACCGGTGCGTGACGATAAAAAAGGTTGGGGACACCACTAGATCACTGGCGTTGAGGTGTTACAATACATTAAATTCAGTTGAGCAAGCCTGTATATACAGGCGGTTACAGTGAAGTTCAGTTTTGAATAAGCATCATCATATGATGTCAGCTTGAACATCTCATTTGGTAAGGAATTAGTTTGCAACTAATTTTTTAAGAATTTTTCTCCTGTTTTAGATTACAAAATTATTTATTATTTTGAAATTTTAAAGTAAAAAAAATTAGTTGTCAGTACTTTTCTAAATGCAAACACATTTTTTAGTCGTTTTCTTGATGTACCTTCCGGTAGCAGTATTTGGCTATCATGTGTATGGGGATACTGTACATATGGATATTACAGATTCTACACCACCCTCTGTATACAGAACCATAGTATTATTTTTCATGTCCTTTCGTTCTCTCTTTGTTTTCTTAATGGTAATCAACGCTACAAGTCAAGAATTTGAAGACATCTTAAATGTTCCCGACAGTGAGTCAATGTATTAACTTCTCATGTTAAATTTACGTTTGAATTTTTGAATTTTTTAAAAATTGGGGATTATATTAAACTACTCGCTGCGTTCATTAACCCCTGAAGTTTTTCGCAAATCTTTTCACATGGCTTCCTAAGCCGATTTAATTTCGCTTACTCATTGGATACTAGCCGATTTTAGTGTAAGTATAATGCAGTAGTTTATATATGTATTATGCTTATTTTGGGGTTTCTCTTTTAAAAATTAAGTTCTAAAAAGTTAATAAAGCTGTAACTGTTCTAAAATGCTAAATAAGCTTATGTGACACATATATCCTCTGAAATCTTCGCATAACACTTATTTTTTTTAAATTTACAGACCAACATTTGAATGCTACTTTGAATACGCAACCTGCATCAGAATACTACGTTGAAATATTGATATACCTACATTTAAATACTACTTTGGAAATATATTTATAACAAATAATTTATAGAATTTCCAAATCTTTAGAATTCTAAATTACGAGTCAAAACAGTTTGAAATCATTTATTCTGGAAATATTATAAATTTTAAAAGCTGTAAATACCAATGAAAAAGATTTAAAAAAGGAAAAAAAAAGAACATATAAATAAAGTAGGTGAAAATGGAAGTAGTATATTAAGGTTAAAAGAAAAAAATATATTACTATAAACAACATACTTCTCTATAAGTAGTATATCGATTTCTGTTGATCCAGCTAGCTTTATTCCTTGAAACACCGCTATCTCGATCTGCTTAAATTATTAAGCATCATCAAAACTAAAATATATATCTAAAATAACAATTAGCTTTCGTAAATTAAGAAACATGATTGAAGCAAAAATACACTACAATTTCTTTGCTTAAATGAAAAGTTTATTTTTAACATCTCCTCTCGGCCCAGCTTATACCTCAGTCTCTTACAACTCTTCTTTGCTAACTTGAGAAATGATATTTTATTATTTTTGTGGCCGCATACAGACGCAAGCATTAACGTTTTATATAATAAAGGCTAATGTTTACAGGAAATTAATAAATAACCTATTTTTAAGATAGCACGTATAAGGTCAATTTATCTTCAGAAAACACATTAAAGCTTTTTTCTTCCCCTAGAAAACTTTGAAAAGAAGTGTATGTAAGTTTGAAAATCTAGACTTAGAACTTAACCTAATATTTTTGTATTAGTTTTTTATTGCTGTAAGGATTTTTTGATTTGAATTTACTTACGAGATGTTTGTCGATAACGTTATTCGTTAAAATCTAATTATAAACTTTATACATTTAAGTTTAATTTTTTTTTACAGAATTTGGTTGGCAAAGAGTTCTGGTTAGAGTCACAATACTCCTTTTTGTCTTATTCGTAGCCCTGTCTATTCCCCGCTTTGGCAAAATACTTAACTTAGTGGGTGCGTCAACTATCACATTATGCTGCACAGTGTTTCCTTGCCTATTTTATTACAAATTGTGCTCAGATGTTCTTCCTACTTGGCCCGACAGGTAACAGCTTTTTAATGTTTAATAATACTTTTAAGGGGACACTTCACGATGGAAAACCCAAAAATCGACCAAATTATACTTTTTTCAATTTTTGTTTCAAAAAATAATACTTATATCTAGCTACAATTTAAAAGAAAAATTTTTCAATTTCATTCATTTTTTGCAAAGTTATAAGCATTTCAAGATTTGTAAACAAGGTTATGTAAACTGTCTGTTTTTATAGTTAAACTGTTTTTTCTCAATGTTGTTTTTTACGATAATATTCAAACTTCGAAAAGTTCCTTGCGCATGAGTTTTGAATAAATCTTTATTTTTTTCTCATATATATGATTGGTCTAATGTTCCGTAACCAATGTGATATAAATAAAAGCTGAATACTCACTGAATATTTTTTAAATTACTTTAAATTGTTATTTAAATTTCAATTTTTAAAAATTATATAAAGACTATGATATTTTGATTTTTTATTTGTTTAAAATTAAGTGCTAAGTTGTTCAAACATATCCAATTTTATTTATACTTATTCAAACTGTAATATAAATGAGTTTCATACAGCTACGATAAAAACTCATGCGCAGGAAACATTTTGAAATATTGGAACATTTAGTAATTTAACTTGCGGATAAATTATTAAAAAAATTATAACTTTTCAACAAATTAATATTTTTGCTTCAAATTTTGGGAATATCTTTCTAAATGCTTTATTCACAATCTATGAAATTTTCATTAAAATTGGTTGATATTTAAAAAAAATCATTTTGAACCTGAAGTGTCCCCTTAAGGGTAAATGCTTAATTTTTAAGGTCAATGCTAGTTAAATTTCGCAATGACCAGTCTGAATGATTCATCAAAAGCTGCTCTTTTCAGTAAAGTAATGATGACTCGATATTGTTCTGAACTTGATAATATTCTTTTTATAATTATATATCATCATTCACATTTTTAATACGTGAGCCAAAATCTTCATTTAACGGGACCTTACTATAACAACTGTAGGCTAATAGCAATAAAAGCTTAAATAATTAAGTATGCTTAAAGCATGCATCGCCTACCAATCTGATTATTTTTTTTTTTGAAACCTTAACATGTCGATAATGTGTTGCTCGAATGGACATTAATCATTTAAAATATCATTCTGCCTTTAAAATGATCGTAACATTTGCCCTTTTCCTCTTGATCTAATTGTATATGTGTATTTATAAATATTGTGTGGGTAAATTATAATATGTATATATATGCTGTACTTACATTGTTTAAGCTTTTAATGTAAAATGATCGAAATCTACTCTGAATCGAAGTTCCAACCTCCATCCTGGAAAGTTGGTTGTTACAAATATCATCTGGTGTTGCCTATGGAATCAAATTATTCTGAGCTGAAAAAAAGGAGAAAGGGAGAAGGAAAATAAAACTTGGGTATTCCTTATTCTCTCTATATATTAGTCCATATTCTGAGGGGAACTTCCTTAGAATATCTGATTCCATAACTTGATTTATGCTGAAAAGGTATTAACTCAATTAATTGCTCTGAAGATGAGTTAATTAGTTCTCAGAAATTGTTTTTTGTTTACATATTAATAGTACCTTCGTTTTTCATCCTTTTCGTGAGTTTGTTAATCAAGTTCCAATTAACTCATCATTTTCGTTACACCCGTATCTGGTATTAGCTCACAATTATAAAAAATACTTGTTAGGTGCAATTCCTCCATCCGAATTGTTTTTTGAATTGTCATTATTTTGATTTTTTGCACGTTCAACGTTTATAGTAAGTCAGTCTATTTACGCCGTTTCCTCCATAAGTTTTAAATTATCATTTTGTTTTTATTTTGAATCGAACTAGTACAGAGTTTAACACAATCCTTTGAGGATTCTGCATCATTAAATCAAAGCCTGCTTCACAATGTTAGGCATATCAAATTTTCATGATAGATAACTATCGGGTTGGTAACCTCGTCACACTGTGGTAGTGATGTCGGGTCGGTATCCTCGTCATAATGTACTCTTCATACAAAAACAAGAAGCGCTACCGAAACAACTTCTACTTACACTTCAGCCGGGGATTCCCCGTAATATGTAAACACTCAAGTGAGCGATTTAACTGTTAGAAATAAAGATGTAAATACTTGTTGTCTCTTGTTTTTTTTCAGTTTTTAAACAATAATATTACATTAAATATTGTAAACCGCTACATTCTGGTGATCCGGAATTATTAACGAAAATGACGGACTCAGAACCATCGGCAACAAAAGATGAAATATAGCACGAGTAAGTGTTAAAGTACCTCCGTTTTGGGCGGAAAAGCCCGAAATATGGTTTTACCAAGTGGAAGCACAGTTTTCGATTTGTGGAATAAGTGCAGAGGAAACTAAATTTAATTACTTAGTTTTCCAATTTAAACCAAAATTTTTTGAAAGTTTGTGGGACATTATAAGTGACGATAGCAAAATGAAATATACAGCTGCCAAAGAAAATCTTCTGATATTTTTTTAAAGAGAGTGAAAATAAGCATCTAAGTAGGGGAAAAAAGGGGGTTCAGCCGCAGCAGGAGGGGTACAACTCAACATTTCAGATTCGACTACTGCCGCAGCAGGAGAAATACAACTCAACGAACTATGACGTCAGAGGTTTTTCAGAGATTGTGAGATCCCTACTTTAGATAAGTTTTTATCAGATGGTTTATTTTTATCTCTTCTTTAGAAAGGGAAAGAATTATTTTTATTTTCGGGACTTAGAAATTTTTCGCAAGTGGAGTGTAGCGATCGATGACTTCTCGTTTATAGGATAACCGGTAAACTCCACTTCCCCTGTATAGATAAGAGTTCAACCCCACTGATTAGGTCTTAGTAGCTCTTAGAATATTTTAAATACAAAAACAATTTGAAAATAATTCAAAGTACAATCAACTTCAGACTTTTTAAAAGTAGTATCAACAGCATCAGAATTTTTTTAAGTACAAACAGTTTAAAACAGTTAAGTCTAAAAAAATTTAAAAAAAAAAAACATTTGAACTTCAATCTTCTGTAAATCATTATGTATACGTTTATTTTTTTAAAAAAAGAACTTCAAAAATTCCTTAGGTACAAACGACTTTAGAATCGTTTTGGGAATAAAGTACTAAAATTTTTTTAATCAAAACAAACTAAAGACAATTTTAGATGTAAACAACTTTGGAATTTTTCTAAATGCCTGCAGCTTCATAATTTTTCAAAGTACATATATTTCGAAGTTTCTAAAAAAAAATTAAAACAGTTTGAAAATATTTCCTAGACCAAACATCTATGAGTCGTTATATGCTCATTTTTTCCAACTGCAAAAATTGCGTATGGTCAAACAATTTCAGAATATTTCAAAGAACAAAAAATTTCAAAGTTTTTCTAAGTCAAAACAATTTGAAATTATTCTCAGTACAAACAACTTCAGAAATTTTCTAAGTATCAACAACATCAGAATTTTTTTTTCTAGTACGAACACTTTGAAAATTGTTTAAAGTCAAAATAACTTTAAAATATTTCTGCGACTTCTTATATACCCATTTTCCCCAACAAAAATAATTTTCTATATGTTCAAGGAATTTCTGAGTGTCAAGTAAGTAACAAGTCCTAATAAGTTAAGCCTTTTTTAACTAAATTTCAGTTGCTCTTTATACACTGTTTTTCTTGCATCAAAAATTTTCACGTTCAAACAACTTCATAATCGTTTTAGGTAAAGAAAGTTTCTTTAATTTTTCAAATCTAAGCAATTTTAAAATTTCTTTAAGTACCGACCACTTAAGAATTTTTCCAAGCCTAAATAATTTTAAAATTATTCAATGTCGTTCCAAGACCAAACTTCTGCTACTTGTTATATAACTGTTTCTTTCCGACATTTCTGTGTATAAACATTTTCAAAATATTTCTAAGTACAAATGGTTTGAAAACGTTTTTAAAATCAAAACAATGTGAAAATTATTCAAGAGCTACAGTCCGCTTCCCTTGTAGGGTTGAGAGTTCAACCCCACTGATTAGGTATTACTGATTACTCTTAGTATATAGCCATTTTATACTCAAGGAATATCAGAATATTTTAAAGTCCAAACAGTTCGAAAATTTTTTTTATGTTCGAACATCTTAAGATTTGATTCTAAGTATTAGCAGTTTAAAAATTTTTAAATCTTAAAACAATTTGAAAATTATTTAAAGTACAAACAACTTCAGAATTTTTAAAAACAGCAACAACATTAAAAGCATCAACAAAAAATTAAATCGAAACAAATTTAAAAAAATTTTAGGCACAAATAACCTCAGAATTTTTCAAACTACCGTCAGTTTCATAATTTCTCAAAGTACATACAATTCAAAAAATTTTCTAAAATTCCAACAATTTGAAAATGTTTCCTAGAGCAAACATCTATGACTCGATATATACCCATTTTTCCAACTTCAAAAATTGTGTTATATTCAAACAATTTTAGAATATTTCTGAGAAAGAAATATTTTAAAGGTTTTCGAAGTCAAAGCAATTTGAAATTATAATAAAGTACAAACAACTTCGTTATAACTTTAGGTGTAGAAAATTTTTAAATGTTTTAACTTAAAACAATTTAAAAAATTTTTCAAGTACCAACAACTTTAAAATTTTTCTAAGTTCAAATAATTTGAAAAATATTCAAAGCCGAAACATATTGAAGTTTTTCCAAGATCAAACTTCTGTTAGGCGTAATAAAGCTGCTTTTTCCGGCATAAATAAATTTCTACGTTTAAACATTTGCAAAATATGTTTAAGCAGAAGCTGTTTGAAACTTTTTCAAAGCCAAAAGAATTTGAAAATTATTCAAAGTTAAAACATTTTCAGAATTTTTCTAAGTAATAAAAATATTCGAGTTTTTCTAATTACAAAACATTTGAAATTTTTTCCGAAAACAAACTGTTGCTATACGTTAAATATCCGTTTTTCTCACTTTCAAAAAATTTTCTATACTCAAACAACATCAGAATTTTTCTAAAACCGATTAAGAATTGTTCAAAGTATAA